TGTACTCAGGCATGACATGTGTGCTCCGGCCAAATTGTAGAATCAAGTGCTTTCAATAGGAGAGAGTCTGGTAACAAGATTTTAAATGAGGAAATGCTACGCTTATGTTTCACACGTGGCGTGGTATCCTCCATATCAATCTCAACCACCGCTTCGGATGAGGAAATGTAGCCAGTGGGTGTTGTAAAAGTTGAGGGTGTTCTTCCAGTTGCAGGAGAACTAATCGATTGGACTGCAAGAGTGTTCCGATTAGCGATTTTCCTTTTCCTCTTGCGACTCAAGAGTTAGAAATTTCGCATTTAGGGCCGAATATTGTTTCCGAACTTCAATGAACCCAGTATGTGTTTGCCTCATGAAGGAGCGCATTTCATCTTATATTTCTCGACAAGCAACACAAGACTACGTTAAACCAATTCCTTTGGAAATCATGTCATCAAGGCGCCCGTTGTAGCCAAAACCAGAGCATTTCATATGTGCAAAGTTGTTACACAACCAGCTATTAGGTAAGAGGCGCCGACAATCTTAACACCAAGTTCGCATTTGCTTGTGGAGTAAATTAGAGACATGATGTTAGTCCTTGGCTGCGTTTTGTGTTTTATATTCCATTGGAAAATGTTTTTGTTGATTTTTATATTTATTTTATTTATAGCCTAAAAGTTGGCTTTAAGAATGAAAAAATTAAACCGTTCTCCAAAGTAAATCAACCACACAAATATGAGGAGATAGTAGACAGACTGTTTTAAGTTGTTTTAAAAAAAGATTTTTATTTTGTAAATTAAGGAAACAGTATATTTTAATATCCGCTTAGAGTATACACACTTAACGTTAGTAACGGAATTTTTTAAACAAAATTTTGGCAGAAAAACAATGAAGAGCAAAACTTAATATTGCATCAATAGTATACAACAACGGTAGCACAAATGTCACTGCATGTAAAGTTTATTTTTATAACTGAAATCACTTTTACAGCACGAAGAAAGTTTAATAGCCACTAGAACAATTCTCGAATTCAAGGGCGTAGCCAGCTTTTACCAAAGGGGTGCCAAAAAATTAAAATTTTAATTAAATAATGCCCGATGCATTTAAAAAAAAATTTTATGCATATGATCGATGAAAAAACTTCAACAAATCCAACGCAGACCCATCTTAAGGCGAAATATTGCGTCATAATAATGATCGTGTGGTCGACTTTATTTGGAAAAATTTTTTCTAGGGCAACGCCCCCCCCCCCCCCTGCGTATGCCCTTGGTCGAATTGATAGGATTATTTTTGAGCTGCCGATAAGCTTTATATATTATTATATGTGTATAGATTTAGAAAGCGGAGCTCCTAAAAAATGCGACCGAATGCGAAGGCACCTAGTAGATGAATGTCAAATTTAAATCAGATATCATGTGATATAGAATATCAATTTCAGTATAATGCCGCCGAAGAAATCAAACCATAACAATGCATGTAGCAAAAATATTCAACTCCAGTATGCTCAGAGCTCAAAAGTCAGAAAAACAAACTACAACAAGAATCGCAACTCAAGAAATCAGAGGAGAAGATATTCGCTGACGAACAACTGAATGAAGACACATTCACAGATGGATGTCCAGCGGAAGGTTTAGAACACTACTCAGTATCGTTCTAAACCTGTCCCAGTTTGTGTTCCGGGGGTTTCTGAACGATGATACGGGTTGGTCTTGATTGAATTTAATACATACTTATATATGTATGTATGCATGTACATATATAGGCGGATAACGCCTGCATGAAAAATTGAAATGTATGTACATGTCAGCGTTGCCGAACGCTCCAATTTTGGCGGGACGTCCCGATTTATAAATCAAAATTAAATGTCCCGTGTCGGACTTTTCGGGGATAACTCCGCCCGGTGCGTAACGAAGATATGTACATACAAGTATGTATGTATGTACGTATAACCATACATAGTACATATTGTATTACATTTGATTTTTGGAAAATGAACTCTTTCAAAAACTTTAGGGAGCGACGAAAGAAGAATATCATATTGTAAATAAACTTTTAATTATAAGCACATTTGACTTCGCCCAGCAAAGATGGGCAAGACCTGATAGTATATATATATATATATATATATATATATATATATATATATATATATATATATATATATATATATATAACAATCAAAATTAAATGTCCCGTGTCGGACTTTTCGGGGATAACTCCGCCCGGTGCGTAACGAAGATATGTACATACAAGTATGTATGTATGTACGTATAACCATACATAGTACATATTGTATTACATTTGATTTTTGGAAAATGAACTCTTTCAAAAACTTTAGGGAGCGACGAAAGAAGAATATCATATTGTAAATAAACTTTTAATTATAAGCACATTTGACTTCGCCCAGCAAAGATAGGCAAGACCTGATAGTATATATATATATATATATATCTTTGAGCCCATATATATATATATATATATATATATATATATATATATATATATATATATATATATATATATATATATATATATATATATATATATATATATATAAAACAGTTTGTCCTGACTGACTGACTGACTGATTGGTGATCAACGCACAGCCCAAACGGTAAAGGCTAGGAAGCTGAAATTTGGACTCAAGTATCCTTTCTTTGTTTAGTGCATTTGGCATTAGTGTTTTCATTAATAACTTTATGCAGCAACAACAAATATCAAATAGTTGGGGACATCACATACACACACTCACACACAACAAGCAACAGTTCGTGTCTATGTGTGCGGTTCTCTACGTACGGTTGAAAAAGTAAAGAGAAACATATGTACATATGTATGTATGCCTGGGTATGAATATAGCATGTATGTACATTAGTATTAATGTATACATTGGGCAATCGAACACAGTTGTTTGATTGTAAAAAAAAATAATGCTCTAAAAACAACAACAACTGCAAGTCATTAGCTCGCTCTTCTTCTTTCGTTTTGACCATTTAATGTTAATTGCAAAGGCAAAACGCCAAAATGTTACAGTTACCGTCGCTAGGCAACGACTGCGTAAGCGATAGTAAAGCAGAAACCGAATAACGGAGCTACGCATATTCTGCTTCGCATTGCGGGCAGATGTATGTATGTATGTATATGATTTGTTCTTATTGATCTCAATAAATAATTCGATTTCATTATTTAAATATTCTGCTTATTGCATTCAAACTTCAATATTTTGATGGTATCGGTGCCAGTGCTTTTTGATCGTGGCTCATCGCTGCACGGCATTGACACGAGTGCCGTGTTTCATATTCCGAGTTTGTGCGTGGCCGTATTGACTCAATATGGCACGAAAAGACTCAAATGTGAATTTAAATTTGGACTCAAGTATCGTTTCATAGTATCCATCATGGTGTAGGAGCACACTAAGAAACCTTTTGGAAAATTCTAGCTATATATATATATATATATATATATATATATATATATATATATATATATATATATATATATATATATATATATATATATATATATATATATATATATATATATATATATATATATATATATATATATATATTAATTTTAATTTATATATTTAATTTTCCAAAAGGTTTCTTAGTGTGCTCCTACATATATATGTATATATATACAATATATACAGTTGTGCTCAAAATAATAGTAGTGATATTTTTCACTACGTTCTACCGTATCGTATTTTTGTGTTTCCTTTCATTTTTAATCCTTTCTTTCTGCCTATGTGATCTACAACAAGCACTATAAAATGTCGCGTTACTTTAGCTTTTGGTGCACTTGTTGTTGTTGTTTGCATTTTCCACAGCTAGTCCCAATTTTACGCGCTCAAAATAATAGTAGTGCTTGCACAAACATTCCAAAAATATTAAGTGTGTCGCTCCTTAAGCTCACGAAAAGTTGCAAAAAGTAAATTCTATTATTTTTTAATAGTTTACAATAGTTTCCAATACACAATTTAGTTTGTTTTTTTCTGATATGGGTAGAGCCAAGCACTGCACACCTGAACGACGTGCACGCATTCAAAAACTCAAAATAATTTGGCAGCTCGGAGTCCAAGGAAAGTGCCCCTTCTCACAAAAAAACATCTGGCCAAGCGAATTAAATTTGCCCAAGACCACTTTGATTGGCCTGTGCAGTAATGGATAAACATTTTATGGTCAGATGAATCGAAAATCGCGCTTATGGTGGAACTGGGTCTCGTCAGTATGTTAGCCGGCCACCAATACTGAATGGCACCCTCGATTAACAACGAAAACCGTAAAACACGGAGCAGCTCGTATTATGATCTGAGTCAGTTTTTCGTATTACGGCACTGGGCCTTATATTGGATCCGGAATTTCATGGATCGCCACCTTTATGTGCATATAATGCAGAAAAGGTGCTGCCATATGCCAGTGTTGAAATGCCACTAATTTGGGTATTCCAGCAGGATAATGATCCGAAGCACACAAGTAATGTTGCCAAACAATGGTTTCAAACTAACAGGATCAATGTACTAGAATGGCCGTCACAGTCTCCAGATCTCAACCCGATTGAGAATTTATGGTACGATGTGAAGAAGGAAGTTTCCAAGCGTAAACCAACTAATTTTGAAAAGCTTTGCGAACCAGTTAGACATGCTTGGAGTTCCATTCCTCTTCAAAGATGTCACAATCCCGTGGACCCCATGCCAAAGCGATGTGCTGCAGTTCTTGCACACGAAGGCTATGCTACAAAATACTAATATTATTTAGAAAGTCCTAATATGAGTAATTAAAATAAAAACCGTATTACTTGGATCAGTTGGAATAAGTAAGAGGCCAACAAATGAAACACATTTTGAGCGACCAAATTAATGAAGTTTTGTAAAAAAATTATTTAAATTGTTATATGACCAGAATTTGTTATTATTTTTTTATGATTTACTTGTTTACTTAATAATACAAATTATTTTAAGTTCATTAAAACACCAATGCATACATTTTTTGAACGAACTAAATTTTTATGAAAGCACTACTATTATTTTGAACACAGCTGTATATACATATCGAACCGCAACTCTGCGCCTGTGCATCCCTAGTTGACCACCCGGCTCCTCGCTCGATACCGCTAGATGGCGCTGCTGTGAATTAAACGATTGCCGCCCTTCTCCGGTGCTGTCACGTCGAATTTCTTCTTTCGTGACCGGTCCGATGCAACAAACTGTGTATTAATTAAACAAACTTGGCAAAAATTGTGTGTCGCCGATTGGGCAAGTCTGTTACCGAAAATGTGAATGGTCATAAACTGTCATTTGAATATACAATACGGACCGGGGAAACAATATGTAAGTACATTTCTGTAATTTCTGAATTCAATTTCAAATGCTAGTTTTTTGTAGGGGAAAACATAGGTCGCCACAACTGGACGTAATTTATGGAAGCACACCCCGACGTTGCGAAAAATTCCAAATGTTATAAAAACTTTTTCAAATAAATGTAATTTGTAATAAGCAAAATAAGTGGACTTCAGATCAGATGCGCCTCTCAAATATTTGCGTTGTATTTTTTCAACATTTAATTGGCGTTTCCGCAAATTCTTTCCTAGCTAATATTAATACATTTGGCATATTTGATTCTTATTTAACATAGTATGTTACAGAATTTAAACACAATTAGTCAGCCAAATGTAATCGTCGACTGATAGCTGAGTGCGTTGTAGGATTTATATAACATTAGTCACTCAAGTGCGAGCGTCTACTGTCAGCTGTTGCTGACTCGGAGGGGAACTTCGAAAAAATGAAATCTTTCGAAGGCCGTCGGATTTTTTGGGGGATTTCAAAATCAATTGTAGCCGAAACCAGTTAAGTTTTCTGTGAAGTCCTGTAATACTTAATTTAGTTCAGTTAACAATAATCGATTTTATTTTTGAGATGCACTTATAATCGATGATTTTGCAGCTGTTCTCTATATATGCATACATACATATGTACCTCGTTTAATAGGATTAAAGCTGGTGAAAGTTTTATTAGACGCTACCGGTTGCTGAGTAAAATTCACACCAGAATGGGCACTTACCATGACTTGTAAATTGCTTTTTGTGGAAAGTCTGTTTGCTGTGAAGCCAAGAAAAATTTCTACTTAAGCAATAAGGTTGCGATCAATACTTTTATATAGAGAACATTTAGTAAACAATGGTTTCGTTTTTTTTTTTTAAATGGTTAGTTAAACACAATTCAAAAAAATCCGATTTTATGTCGTGATTAATGCACGTATGTATGTATTTATACTATAGTCGAATTTCATATTTTGTGTGTATTATGTACATTGTACATCGGAGTCTATTGCCGTTTTAATTATGTAGGAATTTCCATGTAGCTATTTTTGCAGCAAGTAGTGGTTCAAGAACCTGCAATAACATTACAAATTAAAGCAAAGAAATAGAGGAGTCGAACGGGCTCAGCTTTTAAATACCGTGTACCTACGCACAAAAAAAAAAAACAAAATAAACAAAGAAATATTCAATAAGTACATACAGAGACATATGTATGTATGTATGTACATACAGTGATGGAAAAAATAATAAAAACGACAATATTGTCTTCGTTTATTAGATTTTTCTTCCATAAAAATTGTTTCTTTCAGAATGTAATTATTTTTACTAAATATTTATCAGATAACATGTTGAAATTAAACAAGAAAGGAAAGCCAAAGTCGAGCAAGCTCAACTCTTAAATACCCTGTACCTCCCACCAAAAAGAAAAAAAAAAATTTTTTAATTAATTTAAAAAAAGGATATTAATTTAATTTAATTAAATACAAATAATTCAATACATATGTATATACAAAAGTTGAGACGTTCATGTACCGTTTCAACAGCCTACATTTACATCAGAATCGTGTCTCTGCGTGTTTATATCCGTGTATGCATGTTGCACAAAGTTGAACCAAAGCAGCAACAACAACAGCTGCGGGCAGCGCTGCCGCAGAGCATGAGCAGCGATTTTACATATGGCCATAACTTCTTTCAGAATTGACCTATCATGATGAATCTTGGCATACGGATACATAACAACAAACTGGATGTGTATGCCAAATTTGAATTCAAAATTACAGGAGTTACAGTAGTTGGGGGTGTATCAGAAAAAAACACAAACTCGTCCTTTCTCGGTCTTAGGACAATCTGGAGGAGTACAACGAAGTGGGGCTAATATTTCGTGGGAATTATGGCATGTTGGTGGTTATATCTGCTGGGCCACTAAGGTGTTATAAACCACGAAATCGGCAGAGCCAGATTGATGATGTCTTGTAATTGCAGTGTCGTTAACCACAATTGCAAGACGGCGGCAGTTTGGTAGATGCGTCGAACTTTCGTTCATCGGGCATCAACCAGTGAACGCAAATTCCACGTGTCACTGCCAATAGTCCCCTACAGTGTGCATCGCACACTGGTCGCAAGGCCCCGCAACATACAAATTTTCTTGTCCAGGATCCCTCCTGGACAGCATTACCTCAGCTGGAAAAATAACTTCTTTACAAGTGAAAAAAAAACGTATTTTTATCTTTTTATCTTTTTTTGTTACCAATATTTAATAGTGCCACCATGATTTTTTACAGCTTCTGCGCCTGGACGACCCATAGATTCCGCCAGTATGAACCAAACGCTGCGGGATTTATGGCATAACATACGGTCTGCACATTTTACCATAAATCATCTGTTTTTGGACTTAAGCCCAAAAATATTCTTTATTTATATCCCCCATAGGTGCCTCTATGGGAATTAGGTCATTGTGAAATCCGTTCCATCAAAGAACCTTTGATTTCATGAAACTTTGTTTTTGTAAGCTGCGAAGTGTGTTTTGGGTCCCAAACTCATACGTTACCGGCATTTCTTCCTCAGAATATGTTAAGTATATTAACGTAATCCACAACGTAGATTTCGTCCTTATACCAAAATATTGGACTAACACCCAAACAATGAAAAACATCCCCATAGCATTATGATCACTTCCAATCGATGAAATATCATGAAATTCTCACTGGACAATCGATAAAGACAGCAGATTTTAACGCACCTGTCGACATATAGATAGCGCCACCAGGGGGCGCTAGATTCAAAAAGTCCTGTTTACTTTGGAACGCACCTTGTATAGTGATAGGTCAATTATAGGTCATATAGCGATAGGTCAATTATGAAGAAAAATATAGCCATAAATGTAATCTCAGCACAAGCTCTGTCCGCTGCTGTTTCTAGTTATAAATAAATGCATACATTTTATTCTCGTGTAATTTTATATTTTCATTTCAAAGTATGAATGTTGTGAAAAATAAACGCATTTCCCTGTGTTTGTAGCTCGCAACAATTTTGTACATTCAAAGAATGAGCTTAACGCTAAATAACTCACACAACTCTTATAATGTGTAGCGCGGTTACTTCAAGAAACCGTTCAAACAAAAACGGTAAATCAGTGAATTTCTTGAGATGGGCATACGTCGGTTTTTTCGGCCCGACACAAAACAATCAGGATGTTGGCGTTTAAAAACACGAACGTGCATTCACGCTGGGAACTCCAGAACACGACACTGCATGGTTGAACCCGCAATTTATAGATACAAAATATTTGTGACTTTTAATCTGAATATTGCCAAAACAACACAAAACAATTTACACGTGGATTGAAAACCTGCTGAGCTGGAGAAATTGCGAAATTGGGCGCCACGACTATTCTGAATAGAGTACATGGATGCACACTGTGGAGTCCTATCGCCATTACTTTGGAATCTCGTTGTAATGAACTCCTCAAACAATATCGCTAGAAAGCCCTTAAGATAACTGCCCATGCTGATGACATAAGCATAATTTTTACAGGTAAATATTCATCGACCTCACCTCAGTCATGGACACTACTACTGTACAATAAATACTAAGGTGGGCAAGAGGCTTAGGACTTAGTATCAACGTAGACAAAACGGACATCATTCTCTTCACGAAGAGAGAAGGTTCCAAGATGGAGGCCACCGAGGGTGAATGAAACTTCGCTCCCTAAAAAGGAAGTAAAGTACTCGGCACAATATTGCACACTAAACTAACTTGGAGGGCCCTTGTCAAAGAAACGGTGAAGAAAGCAAGAAATTCTCTGTATGTATTGCAAAAGATGCTGGGCACTTGGGGCCTCTCACCAAAACTGATGCATTGGATCTTTATATCAGTGCGAAGGAGGTCCTGTTACTGCAAAACACTGAAGAATGCATTAACATCTTCGTGGATAGCCAAGCAACCATCAAATTTGTACAGGTGCCCAAAACCGTCCTGGCAAGCAGGGAAGCTGTAGATAGACTATGCGCCAGGAAAAAAATGTGCATATCTATTCTGTCCCCAGTCACCAGGGCATTGAAGGCAATGAGGCGGTTACTCTTGCAAACCACGGACGGATATAAACTATTTGCCGATACCACCACGACAGCTCCACAGCAGATGGGAGCACAAGTCATGGACTATGACAGGTGAACAATGGAACAAAACTGCCAATTGCAGAAAAGTGCGCACAATATGCAAGGGTAAAAACCAGAAGCTCACCCAATTCCTTATGCAACTCCAGAGAAAGGAATGCAGGCTCATCAGTGGCCTACTTACAGTTCACTGCCTAGTAGCTGCCTATGCCAAGAAGATGGGTATCATAGCTCAGGACACGCAGGAAATGCAAAGAGCCCGAAGCGATAGAAATGCTTGAGCAACTTGTATACCACTGCCCAGCACTCTATACTTTTAAAGTCAAACACTTAAATGCGTGCACTCTAGCCTGGTTGAAGGTTGGCAATATGTTCACCGAAAGCACTGCTGGCGTTTGCAAATCAAAGCAAGCTCCTATTGGAGCACTAAACGGAACTCCCTACTGATCTCCAACTATCCAGCATCGCTACGGTCTATATGAAACTGCCAACGGCGGTCCACCGGGTCAACCTAACCTAAAGTATTTTGGAAGGCGGAAGGATGGCCATAACACTTCCGTCTAATTTGGAGGCATCTGCGAAAACGTTGATAGCTCCGGTTCTGATTTGTGAAAGATCTAGCGTTTCTGTTCCTGTGGGAATCCATAGTCCATATGGGTTGGGACTCCCGGGTGGAGACGGAGTTTGCTGGCATGCCCCTGGCTGAGTCCTTCCAAACGAAGTTTTTCTTTAAGCCTTAGAGCTGTGTTAGTAGCAAGTTCTTTCCCAATGTGATCCAGAAAAAGAAAATGCAAGATAATATTTAAGACATCAGGCGGACTTGTGCGTAGTGTGAATGTAAAAGGTGTGTTTCTGCTTTTGTAAATCGCATGAATAAACTCACAAAATAGGCTTAACGATAAATGACTCTTAGATTTGTTCAGAGTATATTTGTAGCGTTGTTAGCTAACACTAAAACGGTAAGTCGCTGTAAATATGCGATCAGCTGAGATGCTAGAGAGGGGCATGTGTCGGATGCTCTATGTGTTAGAGCATCAAAACTATCGATAGTTGAATCCGTCGATACAATCAATAATTCCATCGAAGTTTGAATGCAATTAACAGAAAATTTAAATAATAACATCTTATAATTTATTGAGATCAATTAGAACAAATCATATACAAACATACATATGTACATCTGCCCACAACGTGAAGAAGAATATGCGTAGGTCCGCTTTCGGTTTCTGCTTTACTATACCTTACGCAGACGTTGCCTAGCGACGGTAACTGTAAACTTTTCACATTTTGCCTTTGAAATTATCAGGCGTAAATGATCAAAACGAAAGAAAAAGCGCGAGCCAATGACTTGTTGTTGTTTTTGGTTTTAAAAATTTGATTTAAAACCATAGAACCATAAAACCACATTATTTATTACAATCAAACAACAGTGCTCGATTGTCCAATGTATACATACATACGAATGTACATACATGCTATATATGTACGTACACAGGCATACATACATACATACATATGTGTGTACATATGCATGCATGTTTCTCTTTACTTTTTCATACATAGACATGAACTGTTGCTTGTTCTGTGTACCCAAAGGGTACAAGGGTATATTAGTTTTGTGCGAGTGTATAGCCTAGCGACGGTAACTGTAAACTTTTCACATTTTGCCTTTGAAATTATCAGGCGTAAATGATCAAAACGAAAGAAAAAGCGCGAGCCAATGACTTGTTGTTGTTTTTGGTTTTAAAAATTTGATTTAAAACCATAGAA